GCAGCGGTCATTGGCCGTGCCTCGGGCTCAAAGAGAGAGCCATACAGGGCGCCGTACCAGAGAAATGACCCGTCTGCGTCGCCTCCTAGGTAGGCAGGGTTGCAAGCGTAACCGGGACGTGGGCCGCGAGAACACCAGCCTTACCCAACCTATCCTGCGAACGGAAAGAGTAGAGCAATGCTCCTACTTGCCGACCACAAAGAGGGATGTAATAACCCATGTTAACGGCAAGCGGCAGCTGGTCGAGCGAGAGCACTGCTTCACCTAGCTAGCGACTCTAATAAATCGTTTAACAGGACAGCTTGACGGGGCGAGCTGCTGCTTATAAGTCAAGCAAACGCTCTACCAGGACGCGGGGGCGAGAACACTGCCTTCACTGGGTTGAGTTCATAACGAATGCCAGGTGCAGCGTAACCGGGAGCGGGTGCGAGACCACAGCCTTCTCCGGCTACCTGCGTGAAGCGGAAAGAGTTAGGGCGGATGCTCGCTACTCGCCCCGGAAACAGACGCGCGCGCGATGGTGATAGACCGCGCGTTCAGCGCACCGTCGAGGCGGCAGAGAGCGGGAGGACGAGAGCATGCCTTCCCACTGCGGATTAATAAAGAAGTTAACGGAGGGCGAGTTCTAGGCGCCAGCGCGGGACCTGTAGCCAAGAATCGAGCAGCAGCCTCGTACCAGGAGAGCGGGGGCGACAAAACACCTGCCTTCACTGTGGATGGGGGTATTAAACCAATCGAAGCTCCAACAGCGAACATGCGCACGTGTTCTAGCAAGCGGCCGCTGCCTAACAATAGAGCAATACTCGTTCAGGGAGCGGATCCGAGAACACTGGCCTTCAACAGCGGGTTTAAAATAAAGAAGCTTTAACAAAACTGCAAGATGTTACCAAGCGGTGCTGCTAACAATCAGAGGCATACGTTACAGGGAGCGGGCGAGCGAGAGCACTGCCTTCACCAGGTGAGTTAAATGAAGAAGCTTTAACAAAACATGCAAGATGTTAGCCAAGCGGCTGCTGCTAACAATCAAAACAATACGTTACCGGGAGCGAGAGCACTGCCTTCACCGGCTGAGTTAAATAATGAAGCTTAACAGTACACGCAAGACGTTAGCCAAGTGGCTGCTGCTAACAATCAAGAGAGATCAAGTCAAACACAAATGTTTAAGACCAGAAAACTAGCTTCTAAAGAAGAGAACAGCACAGAGCCGTAGTTACAGCAGTAACCATGTCCAGTGCTTACACGGCATAGAACCGTAGTTACAGTAGTAACTATGGCCAGTACTTACACGGCTTAGAACCATAGTTACGGTAGTAACTATGGCCAGTACTTACACGGCTTAGAACCGTAGTTACAGTAGTAACTGTGGCCGGTGTCTAAAAGTGTCAGCCAAACGGCTGCACACTAAATAATATAATATTGGGAGGATGAAATCCTCTTTAATGGCCACACATGCAAAGCACACAGCACACACAGTGAAGATTGTTCTCTGCATATCATCCTAGTGCTAGTCTAGTACTAGGAGCAGTAAATACAACGATATAGCGCTACTGCAATCAAAACCATACGTTACCGGGACCGGGAGCGAGAGCACTGCCCTCACCAGCTGAGTTAAATAATTAAGCTTAACAGTACATGCAAGGTGTAAGCCAAGCGGCTGCTGCTAACAATCAAGCAACCAAGTCAAACCACAAATGTTAAGACCAGATAATTAGCTTCTATGGAATAGAACAGCCCGCATAAAACCGTAGGCCATGAGAACAGTAGTAACCATGGCCAGTGCTTACATGACCTAGGACCGTAGTTACAGTAGTAACTATGGCCAGTACTTACCTTACTCTCTGCATCTAAACAAAAAACGGGCAAAAACGGGCAAAATAATGGCAAACTGGGCTTTCCATACTAAATTGAATGAGAGACGCAGCTAAAGCTGGGACTCAAATGCTAATGATAGCTCGGGCACAACGCCACAAGCAGAACTTTCAAAA